TTAAACTGACACTACTCAAAGCCATCTGTTGCTCGATGTCTCGATCTATCAGCTGGAAGGCCACCAAATTTGATAGACGGACTAATGACGAAAAAAAAATAAATGGAAAAAAGGTTCTGAAAGTTACCTATAGGGGAAAATGTAGCGCTGTTCTAGTCTACACAGCTGAAACTAGACAGATCAATAACAAAGAATAAATTTCAGTGCAACATCGCTTTAATGCAGCAAATGAAGTGCCGAAAGGCTACAGAGACGCTAGTGCACTATAGCATTTTACCCTATTAAAACACTTTCTTAGCGAGGGACTAGACCTCTTGCAATGTGACCACCTTTCTAGTGGATCACATATTGCATCCTGTACACAACATCCGTGACGGCCAAACGTAAAGTGCCACCAGGAATGCTCAGTACAGCCAGTGATATGTTGTCCTTTAAAGTCGTCAAGGTCAGGATACCGCCAAGAGAGACCTTGAACTTCATATAACCCCAGAGAAAAGTCACATGGGGTTAGTTCCGGGGAACGAGGCGGCCATGCAAGTGGAAAAAAAACGACTTATGATCTCTTTCCTCTAAAGTGATAGCGCAAAAGCCGCTGTACCAATATACCAATGTGCGGTAGTACTTCATCCTGCATAAAAGTTACCTGACACAGCAAATGGCTCTGCTGAAGTTGCGAAGTGACAACGCTAGTCAGCATACCACGATATCTTTGCGTGGAAACGTAAAAGTCATTAAAGTAATGTTCACAAAAAAGAATGGTCCGCTGATGAAATCTGCTGTAAAGGTACACCTAATAGTGACTTGAATGCAGTGGGATTTCCTGAAATGTATGAAATTGTTCGGATGCCTAAATTCAAGAATTGTGAGCATTAACAGTCCCATTTAGCTGAATGGGGATGATCGCTCCACAAAATTCTCCCCAGCCAAGTAGCGTCAGCTTCCGTCCTGGCAAGAAATTTCATTGTAATTCGCTGCGTACGCGGCTTATTTTGTACGGGTCAAAGTGAAGAATTTTCTGAAAGAATTGCCATACCGTTGAAAGCTTCAAATATAACTGTCGCGCTAATCCCCGATAACTGCTACCATCAACAATGGTCCCTTGGGTGCCGTCAACAACTGCAGTCGCGATATCAGTAACTGTCTGTTCTGACATTGGTTTTTGCTCTCTGCCAAACCAAACTGATAAGGATTTTGTTTTTCAAATATCTGAATCATACCTTTCAATGCATTGATTGATAAAGCGCCTTTACGAAGGTTGTTATGACTTCTAAACTCACGAAGAGCCGCAGCTGCATTCAATTGATGAAGATAAAATCACTTCACAAGTAACGTATGCTGAAGTAAAGTGAGACGCATGTTATGTTGAATCCAACTAATATCTCGAATTTGTTTCGGTGTTTTTCTTTACCTTTATAGACTGAATTACTCATACTGCCGTCGCTTACATAACCGAACATTCGCAATTTCAAATTTTATCGCGTTTCATGTAAATTTTTAGTTGTGTGGACTAGAACAGCGCCACATTTTTCCCTATCGGTAGCTTTCGGAACTATTTTTTTCTCATAAAATCTTTTTTTTTTCCATGTCATCATTAGTCCCCCTTACTAAATTTGGTGGCATTCCAGCTGAGAGATTGAGCTACAGGGGGCTCTCCGGAGTGTCAGTAAAAAAAAAAAAAAACCTCTGCATATATACACTTGATGCACGTCTGTTTTTTTTTTTTTTTTTTTTTTTTTTTTTTTTTTTTTTAAATAATATTGTGTAATATTTAACTGACTCAGAAAGTGAGCGGGGATAGGAATGTTTCACACTGTAGGAAATCGGATGATTCAAGCAAACTCTTCATTAGGAAGATGGCACAATGATCCTGAGGGCAGGGCAGACGCTCGCCCCATGAGAGCGAGACGCCTCGAGACCTTCACAACTAATCATTTCACTGTTTAGGCTGAATTTTAAGAAGAATATGGGAAAGACATTTCGCTAGTGCCATGGTATTTAGGATGTGTTTTATGAAGAATATATAAAATAATGTTCAACGGACTAATTAGATTTTTAATGTAAATATAGCTCTTTCCCTAGGCAGAGTTGATAAAACTTTTTAAATAACTTTATAAAAGAACTCATTTTGAAACTGATTCTTAAATTCTAAGTACAGAATGAAGTCTTGAAGTTGCATATTTATTTAATAGTTTTTTCTCAGATCATTTATATATAATTATCAATTATTGCGAAACAAAAAATTTGATTACACATACAGCTTCTTGGACAAAATGCTAGACTCCTGACCCGGAAAAAATGCTAGACTTAATGCTCCTGACTGTTTCAACATAAAAAGTGAAAGAGATGATTTAGAGATTTTTAAGACATAATAAGGAAGCCCGCTTAAATCACCAGCAAATTCATTTTAATGATTTGCGTAGACGCATTTCATGTGTTGTGAATGTAATTTTAAATTACTTCACAAAACGTCTGTTTTTTATTTGTTACGCATTTCATCAGACGTGCCTGAAAAATTTTATTATTAAAAAAAAATAGAAATAAAGGATAATTTTTATCTCTGTTGGAAATATTTTCCAGGTTAGGAAAAACAAATTCCTGCACGAAGGAGCTTAAAGGAACTTTTTTTCGCCTTCATAATTGAGGAACATGAAAAGAAGAAAAATGTTGCAGAACTGCGGTATTTAGAAATAGCTTTCGCGGAAATGAAAAGACTCGCAGTTGCTCAACTAGTGATAAGTTAATCAGTCCAATCTATTGGATTCCACGCCCGTAATTTTCAAAGGAAGATGAGGAAAGGGGGAAGTTAGGGGCAACTCTCTCTCACTTTTCTTTCTTAACTCCAGGATTTAATGAAGAGGGATTTTTCAGACTGCTGAGGTAAGATGCTTCAAATGTTGGTAGTTGATGCAGTCTTGGATAGCAGTTTTATATTTTGTGATCCGAATACTTGCAAGATATATGAGATATATTAAGGTGTTAGCCACTGTTTATACTTTGATAGCTTTGGAAACACTCGTTAACTATATATTAACGATCGTTTCAGGGCTTAATGTCTAAAGAGTAGAAGTGTCTGAGTCCTACGAAAGACCGTCAGGAAAGATGGAAAAGAATAAGTAAATAAAATCATTAGTAAAAATTTAAATAATTAATAACTAAAACAATTAAATAAGAAGTAAAATCAAAGAGGAAAAAAATTTATGATTTTGAGTAAATATTGAATGCTGAGAATGATGAGAACTTACATTTACAGACGCTATACATGATATGAAAAAAATAACTGATTATTAGCTGCAGTAAAGTATAAAAAAGAAATCTGAAAGCTTTCAGATTTTACATTACGCCCAAAGGGGCGTTTTTTTAACGTTTTGTGTGTTACCTTTATTATTAAATATCATGCTCTTCGCACTTAAACCATAAAATTCAATTCAACAGTAATATCGCAAAATAATTTTAAAATGAGCATATCTTTAGAATTTCCGATATACAGTCTCGCGCGCTGGAGATAATTTTTTTTTCCTTTCGTACAATGTTGCCATTCCTCGCTTTGAAATCGTTGAGTTTGTTAATCAAAAATTCTTTAATGCCTGACAAAATATGAAATAGATAATAAAAACAAATTCCAAACTAGGGCTTCCAGATGCCCATATTCGGTGGAGGATTATGTTATTTAAAATTTGATGACTGTAGGTACTTTTGTTTTATCGCAATGCGAGAAACATACGTACATTTATGCAGATTCTTCATTATTTAATTTCATTAAATATAATACGGGACTGTAATATTTAGTGGCAACAGTTTGAAAACTGAATCAACGCAGAAAGTGAATCGACGCAAAATGCCAAAACGAAATTAATATCCCTTCTGGGCTAACAAATGATAATTAAAGTTATTAAATAATTAAAATTTATTAAAATGTAAAGAGATAAATTAATATTTAATAAGTGATTGTTAATATAATTTTATTACTAAAAATAAAATTTTTGAGATCAAAATTCTACTTAAATTGTTCAGTTACATAAAAAAGTGCCGGAGACTTCTTCTTATTTAGGGTTCCGATGTGCTCCGGCTAGAATTATGATTTATCCTCAGAACTAAGAAGTACCGGAGCCTGGCTCTGGCGCAATTTAAGCATGGATCGCTTTGGAAACGCTCACGCAATATTTCAAAACTGTCGCTGAGTCGTGTTTTTAACTGATTACAAGCTTCCTATTCTTATACAATTGCAGGCATTATTTTTTAAGTTTATAATTAAACACACACACACAAAATGGCTGAAAGATTTCAGATTTTAAATTGCGTCCAAAGGGGCGTTTTTTAAACATTTTAAGTGTTACCTTTATTTATTAAATATCATGTTCTTCGCACTTAAACCATAAAATTCAGTTCAACAGCAATATCGCAAAATAATTTTAACTTGAGTATATCTTTAGAATTTCCGATACACAGTCTCACGCGCAGGAGATAAAAGAGATTTTTCTGTACAACGTTGCCATTGCTCGCTTTGAAATCCTTGAGTTTGTTAATCAAAAATTCAAAACGTTTTACAAAATAAGAAATCGATAATAAAACAAATTCCAGATTTCAAATTTGGGCTTCCAGATTTCCATATTCGTAGTAAGATTACGTTATTCAAAATCTGATGGCTCTAGGTATCGTTGTTTTATTACAATGCGAGAAACATACTTACATTTATGCAGATTCTTCATTATTTAATTTCTTCAAATATAATACAGAGCGATAACATTTCGTGGCAACAGTTTGAAAAGTGAAACGGACATTCAGAGTGATTCGACGCAAAATCGCAAAACGAAAACAATAGTCCCACAGGGATAAAGCCCCTTTGGACTAATAAGCCGAAAGCAAATCATAGCAAAGCAGAAAATTTTATTTAACTTTAAACTCTGACAATGATCTTCCCTTTTCTTAGTAACAGAATTTTTAGGCGCCGATATTGTGTTTCTGTAATTAGTAGTTATGAGAAGATCTTCATGAATTATTACCTCGCATTAAGTATTACAACCCGATTCCCCGTTCCGCACCAAAGTCTCTTGTCAACAAGACGCAGGCTAGTAACAGGACTCGAACCAATCATGATGTAGAAAGTCTCTGGTTTCGGTGAAGAGCCTTCGATATTCTGAAAGAAAGTAATTGATATTTTGTAGATAATAATAATGGCTTTCAGTTCTTTTACACGATTGAGACATTTCAGCTGTGCTAAAACAGACGTTAAGACACATTAAGACACATTAAAACACTAAGATTTATTTTTTTCAAATTTTAAAATATAGATCATATGGTTTTATACACAAAAGATTTGAAATTGCAATTCATAATTTTTTTTTTTTTTTTTTAGAAATTCACGGTATATCGCTTATATAACTTATAGAAATGGCTATGTGCAAAGAAATTTCGAGGAAAAGAATCCTGAACGTATTGATTGGCAAGGTGTTATAAGAAATGTGAGTTTAGGATACCTTCCAGCTATTTCTATTAAACAGGCTATCAAGAAGCACCGCTGGTGGCCATGTCAGTTGCTGTTCTACAGCCCGTTGAAGACGAAGGGGGAGCCTGGGGAAGCACTGAAAATGCCCTCCCTCGAGCAGCCATTCCACACATTTTTGCTTTCGTCATTGCAAGTCATGTACGTAGTTCGATTATTAACTTTGCTTGAAATATGGTGTTTAAAAACATAAAGCAATGTATAAATGCAATTAATGCATAACAGAGTTTAAACTCGTGGGAGAATAAAGAGTATAATTACTAATATTTATATATAAATTAACTTAATTGATGTGGTAAGTAGAAGCTGTGCGCTTGTATGCATATGCTAAATATTTCTTTGTCTATTTCACAGAATGAAGAGAGGTACAGAAAAATAGTCTTTCTTAACTACGAGTATATTCGCTATTTTCGTACTATTATCTCTTCTCTGGAAATGCTTTTAATTATGTTCTGCCTTTCCATATTTTTTTTTTTTTTTTGAAGTACATTCTCTCGTATTATAAGTAAAATAAAATTGTTGACCTAGTCGTCATTAACCAGTTAACTGTGGCGCTCTCGTTTAAAAGTGCGCACCGTTTTGTGATGCCAGAATCGAGCTATGACGAGTATATTCGTCAATCACAGAGTAAGTTGCGCTAGTAAGATATTTGATGAGAAAGATGGGTTTATTTTATAAAATTGACAATTTTTATTACTAATATTTACTTATTTGGTTAACATAAGCATATATTACGTATATATTAAACTAAAAACGCAATAAATTAAATTAAATATTATACATATAAAAGTAAGAATTTAAATTCCTGCTGTGGAGTGATATACAGCGAAACAGGGTACTATACACAATGGGACTTTGCAAATCGAACACCAGTAACGCGATTCCTTCCTGATCTTACGCTTGTAGCAATGCGAACACCTTCGCGTAGGTTTTTTTTTTTTTTTTTTTTTTTTTTTTTTTTTCGATGTTCCGGGTATATAATCCGGAACATGATTCCCTCCTAATTGGCTTAAATTACGTCTAAATGGCCGAGTTTGCGTCGATTTATTTCTTTCAACTGGATACGTCGGAAAAGTGTCTTCAATAAAATTGAGCAAAAAGTTGATACGCGATAATGTTCCATTATTTTTTTTTATATAATATGAATGCATTCAGACACATAATGTCTAAAAAACGGAGAAATATCTTTTTGTAGTACTTTTTGAGTCGTTTTCTTGCTGTGGAGTACGCTATGATGAATCCATCGCTCATATCCACTCCACCTAATTTTCTTTATTATAATCAATCACTAGCTCCGGTTTCTTTGTTATTATTTTTCTTTCCTCTGTTTTTATTACGTTGTCATTATGTACAGTGCTTACTAAATAAATCTCCCTCTTATCTTTCCATTTCATTATACGCATGACGAGTATACTCGTCAACACACAAAATCGTGCCGCTTCTCCATGACGAGTATACTCGTCAATCACAGTTAACTGGTTAAAAATTTTCAGCCGACGCAGAAATCAAGTGACAAGTCGATAGCGCCAACATTTCCAGGGGCGGGTTAATAAGTAAGTACGAAATATTTTTATAGAAAGTAAAGCTGTGAGTTGCCTTACTTGAAATATCGAAGCTTCATTAGCTCTTATATCTTCACAGGAAACTATGAATACCTTTTATAGCAGCATTTACTATTAACTCTTTTGTTGAATTTGTAAAAAAAATTATTGCAAGGTATGCATAGAGAATTATAATAGTTATATGAGCATTTACAAAAAATGACTTAAGATAGTGTAAGTAATGTTAGAATAAAAAGAATTATATTAATAAATCAACAAATAAGCTTATGCAGTTAGCGCGAAAAGAAATTAAAAGCTTTTGAAAAATATCTTGTTATAATTTATTATTTGTCTTTTCTTGGCAAGTGTTTATATCTAGAGTTTTCAGTAAAAAAAATTACCTTTATATAGTTTGTATTAAAAAAAATTAAATTCCATAAAAAATACCTTTTTATAGTTTTCTTTATAGTTTGACAGAAACATTACTAGCACGTGAATTATTTATAATGCCTTAAAATATTTATCTCATTATTAATACTTATTACAAATCTATTGTTCTCAGATTTATTAGAACTCAGTGAGCTTTAAGATTCTTTTAGAATGATTTTAAAATATACTTCAGGTTTATGCTGTATACCTAATATGACAGTTGTAAAGGAATTTAATTCCTATCTATCGGTTATCTATAGGACCTTTATCATATTCTTTCATCTATTAACATACGTTGGTTTAATCCATGAAAACTAAAACTATATGCTTAAAAAAGGTAACACAACCGCAAAACTAACCGAGATTTTAGATTAATTAATTAAGGTAAAGTGACTCCAAGACTGTCTGCCTAAGGAAGATACGCCTTTGCGGAGGCTTTTAAAAAGAAACCAGCTCATATCTACATTACACATCGGAAAATCCAGGAAAACTCCTTTCCCGACAGCCCGTGATTCGAATTAAAGGTGAACTACCAGCGTTTCGCGACTTTACCGCTCGGCCGCTGACGGGCCAACCAAGATCTAATGCAACTTTTTGTTAAATTCATATGTAACCCCTGAATATATTAGGCAGCTCTATAACAACTGAGTTTCTTCTTCAGATACGACCTCTTATGTAGGTCTTATTTGAAAGAGAAAATTGCAATTTCTGCATTAAAAATTGTTTTCCACGCTTATAGACATTTTAAAACTGCTCTTCTGTAGTTTCATGAAAAATTACTATACGCAATTAGCTTTTAATTACTTAATCTTTGCGAGAAATTATGATATTTGAGTTTTATCACTCCATATTTGTAGTTTGTAGCTAATATCTTTTTTTAACTTGAAACACGTCAAACTAAATAACAGACAATCACATGATGAACAATAATGTTAATATGAATCATAGTATGCAGAGCTTCTTTTCCGAAGATTTATTCTAAATGACCAAAGTAATAGGTTCCTGAGGTGTTTAAAACACGCTCTTGTTGAAGAAAATCTGGTATATACTTGTCTTCTTGATCCCTTACACATATAGATGATTCATTATAATTATTCAAAGCAGGAATTAAATACATTAATATTATTTAGAGCTATAAAAAGTTGCAACTTCCTTCAGATCTATCAGGTTTCTTAAGAAGTTTACCAGAAACAGTGAGGAAAAAAATCGCTTATATATTACAGTTATAGACTAATATTGCAGGAACTACTGAGTTTTCGAAGAAGGGAAATTTAAAAAATCAACCGTAGTCGCATCGGAAAACTAGCCATGGACCTTCCAGTTGCTTTCTGGAATGTGCTAACCGCTAGACATTAAATGTCATGTAGAAAGAATGCTTCTAATTCCTTATAACAGACGCTATTAATTATTTGTAATTATTTTATTTAAATTTCCGAATATTTATAATTATCTTAAATTTTAAAAGTTAACATTCAAAATATGATCCAACAGACCGATATCTTTAATTAATAGTTCACTCTCACTCCCACATGACAAAAATCATTTTCAAAAACGATCGTCTGTAATACACCAATGTTGCCGTTCCGGAAGGAATGCATTATTTAGTAAAGTCAAGTGCTATTTCGTTATGCTGGGGGTTTGAATATTTAAGAAGACGTGAATGTGTCTAAATTATAAAGCTACGCCCCAGAGTGTTTGCGGCATGAGATCGTTTACATGCATTAAGCCGAAGTGTCCTGTAAAGGTTGTCAGGGAAGAATGGTTCCAGGCCTTTACCAGAAGTATGGTTCTGGTAATCATATGTACCAAAAATATGGCCAGAACCATATTCTTGGCTGTCCTTGATCAAAAGTGGAGTCGAACTGGGCACAGCCATTCTGTCATCATAGGTGCCAAAGTCTCCCGTCAACAGGTGTTTTCGCCCATGATTCCTGAGTATATGACTAGGATAAGAGGAGCTGTTTAACAACAACATTAATCATAGCAGAACGCCTAGTTTGCAGGCTAAAAAATCTTGAAAATAGTATCTGCAGTTACATAAGAAATAATGATAATACATTATCAATAATTATCTGTGTGTAAACTAGCAACTATTTTGAGGAACTAAGACATTGAAGCCAAGTGCACTTTTAGATCACTATATCGATCCGGTACTTCAAAAAGACCCGACTTTGGTTTAAAGCAAGGGCATAGGGAATTTTCAGCGATTTCTGAATCTGTTATCATCATCAATGATTCCTCACATTTGAAACGGGGTTGGAATTAGAATAGCGGTTGCCATAAAATTGACAAATGATTGAATAAAGTACTATTTCTACTCATCTGAGTAGAAATAGTACTACATTCAACCATTTGTGAATTTTATAACTGTCCCTGACTTTTGATGACTTTGAAGGAAATGGCGGAAAATTTTAATTTTAACTGAAATTAAGATAAATTTAGGCGGCTAGTGCCTTTTTGATCAAAGGATTAGCATCTTACCTCAATAACAGCCACCGTACCATCAGCAAGACCCGCATAAACCTGCCTTATGCCGTCTTCCTCATGAGAAGCTAAGGTCAGTACTGAGTCATTGAGCCTGATTTCCCATAGCAGGCGTCTGGAATTAAGAGATTATAATTTTGATATTTATATTCAGTTAGATACAAGTTATGAACAATAACTTAATAGTTCAATCCAAAACAGTGTGCGAAATATCGAAGGCAAAATTATCGAGCATATGATGTTGCTTTTAATATTCTGTCACGTTAAAAAGTTGAAACACGGAATGTTAGAATTGAAATTCCTATTTTTTTACCACACTTTTAAACAACAAGAAACATGCATATTGTGCATAATGTAGCATACACATATACATAATCTCATAGTCATAGAACTAATATACTTCAAAAAAATCAAAATAGCGAAACATACTTCCTACTTTTATATATATTTATGTTCATGAAAAATTGTACAAAGTTTTTATACATATTTTGTCCTGTGTTCTTATAGTTAGATTCCTTACGCATCAAAATTACACAGAGATATATAACCTTTTATATAATTAATTTGTATCAAACTGCGAACAAAACTATGCATGGATTTAAAAACAGGAAGAAATAACTCTGAGAAATAACTTATTCCTTGCATTTGATGCGTTTTGTCAGCTTTTAACTGGTTATTATTTCACGAAACATTTAATAATGAATATTTTTCTTATATAAATATTAAGCATTAATAAATAATTAATTAAATAGTAAATTTCTTAATAATTATATAATATAATTATAATATAATTATATCTTAATATATAAGAAAATAGCATTAGGATCATAAAAATGATATATTATAATTCACTGTTTAAATTTAATGCGCAAGGAACAACATAAACAGAAATCTAAAAACGTAAAAAAATGTATCATTATTTTATTTTCCTTGAAATAATAATTTTAAATTTTAAATTGTGACAACTTAAACTATATGAAGATCTTTTTTATTCTTATGTATTTGAGCTAGGAGACAAAAAGCTTAGAATTTAAAATGACTGCTTTATTGGTTAATGTAGGATTTCTAAATCATTTCTTACCTAGATTTAGTTGAATATGAATGTACAAAATGAGACAGAGTTCCCAGTAACATCGTATCATCATCCAATGCATGCATACACATGACTCGAGATTCCAGCTAAAATTAGAATATTTCGAAAAATGACAGTATTAATTCAATGTGCATTTCCTCAATAACGCACAGTAAAGTAAACGAATAATTCTACATCTTCTTTACACTTCAGTCATAAAAGTGATAATTCATAAAACTGATAATTCAGTCATAAAACTGATAATTAAACTGATAAAAATGGTTTAAAATTTTGATATTTGCTGATTTATTTAACGAATATCCTACTTACCTCAATATTAAGTCTGTACATAATATTTTCTTCACAATTCACTTTGGTAATGTGAGCTCCATTCTGATGTCCATGACAGAGCCACAATTTGTCTGCGAAATAAGAATTTCGGCTGTCAGTCTGTTGTGTAACATTTTTTTAAAGGGGAAGAGATGTAAATTATAAGTAAATAAAAGGGAATTTCCTTCACTTTCGTTTTAATAACATTTTAAATTTCATCCATTCCTACTGCGATGTATATTAATTCCTTCTTGTTCCTATCCTTCACAGATTTTCAGGGAATTTAGAATTTACTGCTAAATCCTAAATTCCTATTAAAACTTAGTAATTGGGCCTGAGTGAGAACAGGTTGTCTTATTCAGTTTTATCAGATTTCCCCCCGAAGAAGATAAAAAAGTTTAAGTATTGAAGGAAAACTGAAACTGGGGATTTGAAGTTATCTAATTTCACTGAAATTAATTTTGATAATACTTAATAACAGAGCAGATTTGTCTTTATAATAGTTTCGTAAACTAGAAAGAATTTAAACAACTTATATAGGCCTAATACAGGCATTAGGTAATTATAAGTACAATTAATTACACTGTATTATTTAAATTTCAATTCACAGACGCTCGTGTACTTTGCCACGTTTAAATGACTTAACCCAACCTAACCACTTCAGAAATAAATTCACAGAGAAACAAATAGTATGTATAGAAATTTAAGCGACTGGATATTTATAAATTGCACTGATAAGAAATTAATAGTTAAAACATTACTAGAGTTACGTATATTAATACATTAATACGCACATTAATAGTTAAAACTTCTTCTGTGTATTAAAAGTCTTTGTAAATTTGTAATTTACAGTAAGAAGACGTACCTAGAATATGACACAATTTAATACCTTGCATAAAATTTACATTTGAAAAATAGTTCCCACTTATAAGTTATGAAATATATATCTACCATAATCTTGAGAAGTAAAAAGACTCCATAAACCCAATACACTTCAATACCTTTGCACTATTATTTTGTAACTAATTAATAACTTTGCAGCCTCGCTTTCCCGTAAATAATTACTTGGAACTGTTGAATGAATTTGATCAAATCTTTATCGAACAAGACATTGAGTCCTGTTATTGTCAAAAAGTTCATTTAAAACGTCTTAGTTAGAAACTATTTTAAATCTCAATTCTTCATCAAGAAATTTCATATAAATATTCATTTGGATTGATGTGTCAAAATTGATAAGAAGACTTAAGAGGGTTAAATAATATCTATAGGCTATATGTTATGTGTCCATAGGCTATGTTTAAGGCTATATGCTTGGAGGTCATTATCTTGCGTAAAAACGCAATCAAAATCGAGGCCCATTTTCATCGCTCTATAAAGGAAATTAATTGGGATTAATTAATTATATTTATGATTTATCCTTCCAATAATTATGAATAAACTGGAAGTAACACTGGAAGTAGTTATACAAATCCGAACGAAAACAACGTCTTTCCCATGTTTTACTAAATGAAATTAAATTCTTCGGATATATCTCTCTGGGTTATGTTTCTTACTGAATTTACTCTATCTTTTCGTTAGGGGAATTGTTTTTTAAAAATCGGAAAATAGCATTTTCCACAAAAGCCCAAATGCAATTTCGAGTCTTTTCACTGATGACAGGACTAGCAAGACCTAATTTGAGTGCATGCATTTCGAACTGCAGTACTTACGAGCTCTGATTTTCAATTTTACTGCATTTAGAGAAGCATTTAATCTTGGATTTTGCTTTAAATCCTAAATTGGAAACGAAATGACTGTATAGTTACGAAGAAATGGTTTACAGCAGCGATGTTGATTAAGCAATGACAAAAGGTCATATTTACAATATTTAAAAAATTGTAAAATGGGATTTCCCATGCAAAATTGAAACCTACTAAAAGTTTTTTCATTCTCTTCGGGAGTCTTTAAAATTATGTTCTTTTCATAGAAATAAGTGTCTTTTGCTTTAAGATCAATTTCGAATAATTAAAAAGTTTCTGATTGAAATCTGAGATTTAAAAACAGAAATAATATATTACAATTTAAAATTAAATAGGAGAGGGGACTTATGGAATTAAAAGAAAACTCTCTATCTAAGCTGCATCGCAATATTGAGCGAATGCCCTCGTAGTACGGAATCCAAGCGTCTTGTAACCCTTTTTCCTCTGTCACCAACTGTCAACAACAAGAGTAAACAAAAAAGAATATATTAACTGATTTAAGCCAAAATTACCTTTATCATAAACAGCAGCACATTCAATGACTAGTTGGTTCACACTGAAGAATTCCATTTCGGACAACTGGAAAGACATAGAAACGTTCCTGTAAGTATTTCAAATCTTACAGACAGGAACACAATAATAATCGAAATTCGATGCCTACATTCAGAAAACTGAGTTAATTTTACAGATTTATGTAGTTTTCAATAAACTAGTATTAAAGTCTGCCTTTTATTTCTTTATTTCCCATTACAATTTATCTTGTTAAAAGTACATATTATGATCCAAAAATTTCAGATATTTGGTAAATTTAGATTACATAATGTGGTAGCGAAATTATTATGTCGAAATATAAGATATATTTGAGAATATTTAGATTTACCATTTTTTCTCTATCTTTCAGAGCAATCTTTTCCATATCCATTTTCTTAGCATGTTCTTTAAGTGTTTTATAATAACAGGCTTGCTTCGCAGCGATATCTTGACGTCTGGTGAAAGGTTTCAGAACTTCAAAAGCAGTCTGCCAAAAAATGGCAATAAAGTAAGTAAACAATGAAAGAAAAAGAGAATAAGACATCCTTTAATTGAATTCTAAACTAGGTAATAAAACTAGTTCTATCTTGATCTCAGATTTAACGAAACGCAAATTTTTAAGGGGACTCATACACCTTAAACCCCTTATGATCTTCGAATATGTGACTGTTGCAAGAATTTGGATACTTATTATTTAAAAGCAACCTTCCAACATTACCGATGAACTATAACGCTTTCTGAAATAGTAATCAGAAGTTTGTGTCCATAAATATTTTAAATTTAATTGCTTAGTTACAAAATTTCGTCATGTTTCCACCTTGCGCGCACAGTTTAAAACATTCTGTCGCATAATTAATTCCATATTAATATTAGCTTTTGTACCTTTGGAAATACTGTGAACCAAAAATTCTGATATTTCATGTTAATTTTTTTTTTTTTGGAGTTGAGTTTATAAAATGCTTTAAAAAAAGTAATGTTTTCGTGCATAAATTTTGAATATTAAAAGATTCGTATATTTTGGTTTCCGTAAAGATGGCCCATATAAGAATTCTATCAAATTTGATGTACCATGCTATTTTTAAATATCATGCCGCAAGGTGGAAACATGGCGAATTTTGTCACAAAGCAATTAATTACAAAAATTTGTGGCAACACAAATTTTTTGTTAGTTTCCTAAACAGCTAGATTATGAGTTGTAAAAGGTTGGAAGTAATTGCTTTTAAAATAAATAAAATATCCGAATTCTTGCAACAGTCACATATTCGAAAATCATAAAGGGTTTAAGCTGTATGAGCCCCCTTAAGCCTCATTCCCTGTTATAAAGCAAAATGCCCAAATAATTCAATATTTATGACAATAATCTTTAATCAGTTTAATGATGTTTTTCCTATTTGTCTAAAAACTTCATACCAGAGAATGAATTATAGTACCTACTACTTTACATAGCACACATTTTTTATGCCATCGACATCTTATAGTATGAGAAATAATGAATAAATGCATGATTATTGTGAGCCAGCTTGAGCTTAGTAATAATATTCAAAATGAGCTCAATGTAAATCAGTAATATTTGAAATCGCTGCACTGTGAAAAATGCAACATCAATGGTCAAGGGTATCACAAACCACTTATGGGCTGTTAATTTTGATAAGGTATCAATCATCACAAGTAATGAGCAAATTTAAGGGGACTCATACACCTTAAAACCCATAAGATGTTCGAATAGGTGACTGTTGCAAAAATTGGGATAACTTATTTATTTCCAAAAACATTACTGTCATTTTTATAGCTGACACATGATAGTGCTGTCTGAAATATCTCAGAAATTTGTTCCACAAATAGTTTTATAATTTAATCCGCTTTGTGACCATTGTCGGCATGTTTTCAACTTGCGCGCACAGTTTAAAACATTGTTTCATAATTATCCATATAATCTAGCTTTATACATCTGGAACTACCGTGACCTAAATTCTAAAAAATTTCATTAAATGTTAATTAATTGGAGTTAAGTTTATAAAAGATTTTATAATGTTTTTTCATAAATTTTTAATATTAAATATTCTAGATTGTGTTCAGGGAGAAATAGTGCCCATATAAGAATTCCATCACATTTACGTATACCATTAGCCATTTTAAATATCATGGGCAGTGGAAACAGGCGAAATATTTTGTCACACATTATAAACAAAAATATTTTGGCAACACAACTTTCTGTTACTAATTCCAAGCACTATCAGTATCAGTTGTAAACGTTTGAAGTAATGCTTTAAATAATAAGATATCCAATTCTTGCAATTGTCACATATTCGAAATCATGAGGGGTTTAAGGTGTATGAGTCCCCTTAATACCAAAAGCTTATTTTATTTTTAAATACAAGATATTTAAAATGGAAATATATCCAAACCAATCCGCAAAGCAGGCTAATTTGATATTTGGTTGGTATTGTTAGGGATATCCTGTTTAGCGTATTATTTATTTTTTGTTAATTCTGAGAGTAGCAAAGTAAGGACCTGAGTTCGAATCCTGGCGAATGGGCTGACTGCATGGGCGTTTTCGTGGTTCTCCCCATGTGTAACTTGAGCCACTTTGCCTTAGAAAGTCCTCCGCGAAGGCATCCCTCTCCTTAGGCAGATAGCCATAATGTGCTTTGTCATAATATACTAAACCAAACGAAGTAGCATAATAAGAAATATTGTTAATAATTGTGCCTGTGTATGTTTTTCTCCGCCTTTGACATGAGGCAGTAAGGAAACATAAAATATAAGAAGATGATGATAATACTGAAGGCAAAGAATGTTTTTCGTATTGTCGTATGCAAAGTACATCTTGGTTATTTGTCAAGGTAAATTTTCAAGCTAAATTTTGTTAGCCTTTGTCTCTACAACAATCAATTTAGGATTACAGTCCGAGTTCTGAAGGAAATAGTTAATAATTTTAAATTAAGTATTTGCATTT